CAAAAAAATCGTCACAATTGAATCTTACTCAATTATATATCCTTCTATATCGATTAATCTTTTCGTAGCATCTTAACAATAGTTTTCTTTCATATTCCTTCTATAAATATTAATTATTAAAAGATTTCATATAAATAATTAAATATTTATCACTAAAAATAAATCTATTACATTTATTTCTTAATAAATTCATGATTTTTATGATATCCCATAGGCTTATTGCCCGTTAGGGCCAACCACTGTACGGATTAGTTTCTTCTATATCCGTATTTCTTAATAAAAATTTTCTTTTTTTCTTTTTTTGTAGCAAATAATTTCCTTTTTAATTTAATAAAATAAATGGATTTACCATATCATAATTCATATCACTATAATCATGAATGGCCAATGTCTTCAACATCTGATCGTTGTCCATTATATACATCACAAAATCATTCAACAACTTGTTATAATATAAATACTTCTTGTCCTCCTCCTACTCATTCTTCATCATCTTCATATTATGATTATTATACTCCATCAAATTGTTGTCCATCAACATCTAATACTTATTCAACTCATTATAATACTTATTCATCATTTAATCAACATAATACAAATCAAATTGGTCCTTCATCTCATACAAATAGTATTTCAACAACATCTGAGTAAGAAAACTTTGATATTTTATTTTTTATGTCTTTTTATTTTCTATTGATTATAAATTAAGATTGACAAAAACAAATAATGAAAAAATATCGACTAGTATAATTTATCCTTGGATGAAAAAATTACATGTTAAAAATCTTGTTCAAAATACTGATGGTACAGAAACATATAAACGTATTCGTACAGCATATACACGTAGTCAAATTCTTGAACTTGAAAAAGAATTTCATTTTAAAAAATATTTAAATCGTCGACGACGTATTGAAATAGCACGAACATTAATGTTAACAGAACGACAAGTTAAAGTAAATTTTATATTAGAAATTTTTTATATCAATGGTTTTTTTTTTTTTTGTATGTAAAGATTTGGTTTCAAAATCGACGTATGAAATGGAAGAAAGATCATAATTTACCAAATACAAAATCAAAATTAATTGAAACAACAATAAAACAAGAACTTAATGATTAAAAAAAAAAGAATTTTTTTCCTCTTTTCATTTATATTTGATTTTCTTTTCTTTTTTTTTGTCTATCTATGATCTGGATTGTTCATTAAATATGTACACATTTTAAACATATGTAAACAACACGCACAATGTTACTTGTTCTGTTCGATCATTTGTCGTATAAAAAAAACAAGGAAACAGATATCATTGACACAGAAGCGGAAAACGAGAGAGAGAGAGAAAACGAACGCGACGTGATCTCAATTGATAAATCGATACACATCTGCTATGATCACAGTTCAAATTGAGAAGCGAGAGAGATCAGTGTTTTGATTAATGAGGTTTTATTCGACCTTTTCAGATTAAAAAAAAACAACAAACGAGTGTGGATACTTTTTGATCAATAAAAAAAGATAATTTATCATTAAATATCATTTGAGATGATTTTTTTTTTGTATGAATCAAGACAATCATATGTATATAGATAGATCATGATTAAGTGAAAATGATTGTCCATTAGTGTATTACTTGTAATAGAAGTTTTTATATGTCAATAATCATCGTTTGCTAATAGATATGAATAATTCTAGTTGCTTCGTTCATATTATTTTTCTTAAAGCCCGAGATAAAGTACTGAGTTTAGGATACTCATGAATTGGAAAAGTCCTCCAGCCAAGTACTCGATATGAACACTTTGAAAATTCTCAGTAGTTATTCTGATTCAGATATTTTCTTAGATAGTCAAATTAGTATGTACATCTACATAGATAAATTTATTGAAGAAAATTCAGCAGAGTATCGTACTTTTCTACTTTCATGTGTATGACGCATTGTATAAAAGAAAACATATTAATGTACTCTAGAAAAAATTGAATTGTGTGAATTTAAAGCTACTTAGAAAAGTTCACATTATGTTTAGCGTGAATTCTTTTTGTTTATTATTTTAAATGACAATTAAACAAACCGAAGTAATAGATCGTATATAATACTTTTTTCGAAACAGAGAGCGCCATGTATCAACAGAAAAATAAGCAACTAACGAGTTTATTGGTTTTTTGCATTAAAAAAAGCATTAGAATTTTAAGAGTTTGTAAATGGAAATTAATATAGCTATATTGTACAAGAAAATAAAGTAATTAATCACCTTTTCCTTGACAATAATATTTATTTGTAATGATTGTTATTTGAATTGAAACTAAATAGCGAAATCGAAGAGATAATTATTAGTTTTAATTTCTTATTGCCTGATCAATTGAGCATATCGAATTCTATTTTGTATTATGAAAATTCATTTTCTAGATACTCTTGTATTTTTCTTTTTTAGAAAAACTGCTAAATGTAGTAGTGAAGATATGTTCATTAGTGAAATGAACGTCTTTATGATAAATTTCATTATTGATTAATGTTCAATAATTTTTATATATTTTATTTCGAACTAATAGTGTAGCTTCAGAACAACCAAACAATACTACTAATGCTTCATGGTCAAATGAAGGGAATGATGCTGATTTCAATGAATTATTTTGTGTAAATGATGTTAACTATTAATGTAAAATTTATACGGATAAATTGTTATCGAAATGCGATACTTGTGAAATAATTATTGAATTTTTGTAATTTTCATTATCTTGTCTGTTAAACGTCGATTGTAAATTTTTGGTTTCGTATTCATCATTAGATTTGTTCAACTGTGTGATACGATAAGTGTCATTTTTTTTTCCTATTTTCAGAAATACATTAAATCTTTTTTCATTTTATGTAATATTGATACCTCAAAATCACAACTGCTGTACTGCTACCGCCTCATTAATTATTTTTACATTAACCCACCACAAAAAAAAGTAAAATTAATGATTTTCAATGAAAGAAAGTTAGAAGTAAGGTTCGATCTCGAACATACTGAAATTTTTCCAATGGGGTACCTAGAAGTATTGAACACTAGTACTCGAGTGAGTATTTGAGCAGTACCTTCAACTATTTGTTTACTGGACATTTTTGCAGCAGGGCATTCGCCGAAGTACCAAGCAAGTACCTAAACCTACTTTAAAGTACTTCAGAGTATTCGAATAAATTCGCCGTAATTTGGTTATTTTTCACCAATAATAAATGAGTCGCATTTTCAAGTAGGGATAGATAAAGTCAGAATTTAAGTGAATTTTCTTTTATTGAAAACAAATTATCGAAAGATTTGTTTCTGTGATCCATATGAAAGTTTAACTGTTGTTTGTTAAATTTTCATGAAATAGATTTTTGAGAAATGAGATGACTAATAAAAATTAAGAAGAAAGATTTTTCAAGTATTTCATAATTCTTCATTTGACTTCAAGGTGAATTCATTCATGAAAATATTTATTATTCATTATTTCTATTTTGTCACTACATTTCAAATTAGAAAGTAAAGTTGAAGTGAGTAAATTACGTATATACAGTAGCTTCGAAAAATTGATCATATAGATTTAATTTTGATGTTTTTGCGTAATGGTTACAACCATAAAGAATCCAAATAGTGATTTAAATAGAGATATTCGTGTCTTTTAATTAAACAAGATAATAGAGCAACTAACTTTCTTGACAATTAGGTGTTTTTGAGCTGTCCCTGACATTTTTTGACTGAACTATGTTAATTTTAAGAAAAGTCCACGAGTGATTTTTCCGTCATATTCTATAGGGGAAAAAGGAACAAAAACGACGTTTGCACTTTTCTTAAAACTGATATAGTTCAGTGAAAAAGCGTCATAGAGAGCTAGGAGAAATCTCATTTTTACGAGAATTAGTTGTTTTATCATCCTGTATAATTAAAAGAAACTTTTATTTTAAGGTTCTGATTGCTGAAAAACTAGGGTTTGAATTTTACCATTACAGAAAAACATCAACATTAAATCTGTGTGGTCAATTTTTGGAGCTGCTGTACCTAGACACATATACATTTTTAGACTTGACTTAATCTGTCCATTTCTGTTTTTAACATAAACATTCAAATATACTATTTTAAAGAATGATTATCGATTTTAATAAAGAACTATAATCGTTTGTGAGTTATGAGTGAACAATGAATCTATTCTTGTGAGACACAAAATAATCGATAAAATGAGTTTCTTTTCGATTAATTTTGCATACTATTGTCGTATAATTATCATATAGTTCAATAAGCATCCTTCAATGTTTTTTTCTTTTCAATATGAGCTGTAACTTCTTCGTTATTGATGAAAAAAAGAATCAAATTATGATACAGAAATTCATTCTTATATTCTTTTGGAAATTTGAATTCCGATTTATTCTATACAATCAGTCGTAGTTTTTAACAATAAACCTACTCAATATATGTAATAATATAAGATAGAAATAAACTCATATTGTTCGTCATAAAATTCACTTTGAGATCTATACAATAATGAAACTGAAGCAGAACATAAAAACTTCATTTCTGACGCACTTGTGAAACTATTAATTATACAGTGAGTCTTGTTTTTTAATCCGCAAGAATGTCTTGAAACATGATTTGGTCAATATTTCCTATTCAACAGAAAGTATTTCGAGCTATTCATTTTCACTTATGAATGATAAAATTTTTTAATTGTCTATTTATTTGATAAATAGATCTAATTATTCTGATAAGATTTTTTTCCCAGTTAAAAGTTATCAAAAATAAAACTATATTTAATTCAAAAAAAATTCAAAAAAAATATGACAAGTTTTTAACAAATTTTTTTATTACATATTATCATTGAGGTTTTTTACAAAAAAAAAAAACAAAACAAATTCAATCTATAAGATTGATTTACATATATGTATCACCTTTCAGGTTTAATTCTTTCAATCATCAAAAAATAAAAATAAACTAGGATAACAAAAACTATAAAAAGACTAAAAAATAATAATTTATATTACGAATAATTATCTATACTATTAATAATTATTAAAAGCTATATTTTCTTCTATAAGAGAACAAAGTATATCTTTAGTTATTGGACGTTCTATTGCTGTAGTTACTCCTAAATAAATAAATAAATAAATATGATCATTATTTAAAAAAAAAAAATTAATAAATTTACCATCGGCTGTTGCTGAATAAATAAAAAGAAGAAAAAAAATTTACAATCATTATAATGAAAAATAATTTTCAATTAATAAAACATACCTTTTGCATTAGGATACATTTTATCGACACAATGTCGATAAAAATACCATTCACCATTATGGTATAAACATTCGATAATTTGATTTTTATATTGGTCTAATTCTGGTGAGTAATGCATTGATGCATATGGATTTGACATGCCAGTTACATATAGAAGAGCACTTTTTTCTTGTGATCGCCTACAAAACAAAAAGGTAATTATGTTTCTAAATGACACAATTATAATTTTTTTTTCTTCTTTTATTTCTTATAATATTATTTTGAGGAGTTTTAACTATGTTTTAATATGGAATTAATTTCATATTCTTTTTTTTCTTGAATGTCATTTTTTTTCATTGCTAGTAATAGTATCTTGTCTTTAGTCGATTGATCGAAGAAAAAATGTAAACTCTTTCAAGCATTCAGATCATGATAATGATTTTTTTATAATTTGATTTAGAAAATAGATTAGATTGAAAATATTTATTGTCATTCGTCTGGAATGATAGAAATTTCGATTATTTTTCTAATAAAGATCCTACAAGTGATTTCAAGATTTTGAGGTCTATTAAATCTCAATAAAAAGATGGAATCTTTTAGAGGTTGTACTAGTCTAATTGTCCTCTACTAATGAGTAAAATATAGGCCTAGGATTGTTCTATATTAGTTCTGATCTTGAGAACTGTTCACACAGATAGGATTGACTCAGTTCCACAAAAAGCACGAGCTGATTCCATTTTTGACAGTTCATCTGAACTTATGAGTTTCAGTTGTCATAGATTTAAAAAGGGACTAGTTCTCAAAAAAGAACAGGTTCATAGAACTGAGAGCTATCATTGCAGGTCTAATACAATATGAGGTGCAAATCTTGAAATTATTTGTACAATCTTTCCTAGAAAAACGCTCGGAACTTCCACCGTTTCAGGTGAATAGCAGTAAAATTTTTGCAATCAGATCTCTCACCTAACTAACACGTCGAAAGTTGATAACAAAAAAGTCTTTTTTCCAGAAAAGTGATTTTGATACTCATGGATTTATCTGTATCGTTTCAGTTTTTCAAAAAATATATTCTTGAATAGTATTTACTGATGATAGATTATTGTATATATCATTCATTACATTCTCTAGTTCACATTGTGACTATGACAACCAGTCAATGATGAGATGGGAACGTTATTAAGTTAATATGAATTATTATCAAACAGAAACAAAAAAAGAATTCAATGTCGTAAATTGAACTAGAGAATGTACTCAATGAAACATACAATGACCTGTATCTTCTTCGGATACAGTCATAAGAATTTTTCCTGTTTATCTTCTCATATGCATATTTATCTGTATAACCAAGGAAGAAAAAATATACGTCTGTAATTTCTTCATACATTTTCAAATAAGTTTTTTATTTAGTATGAAGGTTAGGAGAATGACGCCCCTCAAGAGATCGAATTTGCCGTTCCAAGATTCGAAATCGTTAAGCTATATATTATATGTTTGTATCCTTGAGAGTAGATGTTCACCCTTCTGAAGTATATCTACATACTCCTGTAATTGTTTTCTTAATTATCTTTTGTACAACTATTTCTGATCTTACAGAAAATACTTCATTTTTCTATACATTCCTTAATGTTTCATAGTACTTTTGTATATTACGAAAGTAACTTGAAACATGATTTCTATATTTGATATCAAAATACGATTTTGTAATTATTTTATTGTTGATAATATAGTTTCTATCGTTCATTTCAATATTTTACTTCTGTCATAACAAACAAATATTTGCGTACCCTGTTTTATGTATTTTCAATCGAAAATCAATTGTATTATGTTCTTTCCATTTGAATACATGTATAGATCGTCCAGATTGATAAGGCTATAGAAAATATTAAAATTCATATGTAATTTAAAAAGAAAAAATAAAGTAAATTTCAATTTACATCAGATATAGGTTGAAATACAAGTCCATCACAACCATGAGTAATTTGTGATTGGAATGTTGGACTGAGTAACTAAAATGAAAATATTATATATAAATAATTTTCTCATATTAATTATTTGATCTTATTTAAATTAAATAAATTCATTCGTATTTTTCTTACTTTAGATGTTGCTGATAAGTCCCAAAATTCTTTATTTCTTATTGAAAATGGTTCTAAACTTTTGTTAATAAGACCTTTTATTATAGCTTCATTTCTGATATTAACAATAGAATGACGTATTATATCAAGACGTTCTTTAAATGTTCGTTGACCAACATTTTCATTCTAAATATAACAAGAATTATTTTTTTTTATCAAAATTAATATAATTCTATTTAATATACTTCATATATTATAATATCATAAATTAAATATCGATATCTTTTAATTCCATTATCATTATCAATAACAAATTCCTAAAAATAATAACAAAAAAAAAAACCATCGAATAAATTTATTCATTATCAAAAATTTAAGATAACATACACCATCAACCAATGTATTTATTAAATGTCTTGTACAATCTGAATCTTTTGGAAAGTATAGATGATTAATTTGAAATACATTGTTATTACGATCTAACATATAAATTTTATTTTCACTTTCAATTAACATCATATATCTATAAGAAAAATATTTAAAATAAATAAAAGCTGTTAGCGCAATCCTTGCTGAATTAAAATATGAAACACGATGTAATTGTTGTTATTAATCACAAAGAAATTGTTTTAGTCAATCTATTTTATGATACATTTCTTCATCATCCTTTTTGTTTAATCTTTCACAAATGCAATAAGGAAGTAGTAACAAGACGTTATTGATATACGATCAAAGATCGTATATCAACAACGCTTGTGATGAACTGTTTCTAACGTATCTGTGACTTTTTGTCGATTCCATCCATCAAGGTCTGTGGAAGGGGAGCGTGCAAATTTCTATTCTCGTTTTAGATCGTGTTTCACAAAAAGAAGCTGTATGTTTTTTTATTTTTATTCTACCTGGTGCCATCTGCTTTCCAGCTGACCATATAAGGTGATAGAAATATAGTTTGATAATTTGTATAGTCCATAGATACAGGTTGTGAACCTGGAAAAGTTGGTCTACAAGAAAATAAATTAAAAGTAAAATAAAAAAATGTTTTTTTTTTGTTTTTCTAAAGTTACCGATTCCATCCACACATTTGTTGACATTTCAATCGAATATTATCAGCAATAGATTGAAAACAAATAGGTTTAACATTAAGAAGATCCACAGCAAATACAGGATTAGAATTCTAAAATAATCTCATTAATGATGAATACTTTCTTAAAGAATAAATCTTACTTCTTGTATTTCTTGTCGAAATCGTTTATTCGATTGTTGATAATCTATTTCATTGTATTTATGTTTATTTTTGTTTAATGTAATAACTTGTTTTTCTGAAAATAAATTATAATAAAATTGAAAAAAAGAAATTAATATAAAATTGATTTTAGTTTTTTTTTTCTTTACCTAAACACCATTCAGGTCGTAATGGTGCAGAAATTGAAATACAGTTTTTCGTTGGAAATTTTTCAATAAGTTTATCTAAATAATCTTGTTTATAAATTCCTGGTGATCGAACTGTTGCAAACATATCGATAGCAACATCAATACTTGAAAATGAAAAATCAATTTCATTTAAAAATAAACTATATCTTAATATCTTCATGCCTATAATTAAGTTGTCGGCATAGATATGCACAAACAAGAAAACCAGTTCGATTGAAACCATGTGTACAGTGAACGCCTATAAGAAAAATTTAAATAAAGAATATATAAAATTAATCATACCTATAATATCATTTGGATTCGCATTTATAAAATCTTGACAAATTTGAATAAAAGAATCAATTTGTTCGTCATTTGGTGGTTCATTATGTCTATAAAAATTATAATCAGAAATTAAAAAAAAAAAAGAAAACTTGGAGTTTCTTTATACTATACAGAGTTAATTAAATCTAAATTTTCGATTACTATCTTAATTCGGTGGATTCTAATATTCATTCATTCGTTTTTTTCTCCTAATCCTTTCAAGTCAAGATTGAAGTCTATTCATTAGTTTCGATCTTTCACCTCATGTAGCACTTCGGTCTATTCAACCTAGAGGTGTTCATGGCGGTACTGCTGCACGAGAGATGTTTCAAAAATACTATCGCGCCAGCAGAAGAGTCCTAGTCATGATAGACATTTCTGATTCAAACCGTACGCGTTTGTGACAGAATTTCTCAATGACTTTGTGCCAACTGCTTTGCGAACGTCCGACTGGGTTTTTTCCCACAGACCTGACTTCAAGCAGTTGGTAAGAAAATCTTTCATATAGTATTCTTAAGACATGTTCTAACTATTGTATTTATGATCGCTCGATTTGTAGAGATTCTTTTATGTCCAAGCTATGAATTTTATCTTTGAGTGTCCGGTCAGCTACTCTCTGCAAAGGGATTCTAATATTTGTTTGATTATTATAAAACTTTTGAAAATTTTTCTGTTTATGATTCAAACTGATCTGATTTAGTTTATTCTACGAGAGAAGTATAATTAAAATGATGTTCTATATTTATTATTTTCTTAATAGAATATGTATAGAAGATTATTCTTACCCTTGACATGGAATTTTTTCATAATGTATATTTTTTTGAATAAATTCAATATCACTACTATAATATCGTTCTGTATTTGTTAAATCAATAACAAGACCAAGATTTTTCTATATATATATAAATAAATATTATATTTCAATAAAATAAAAAATAAAAAATAAAATTATACTTGATCATCTTTCATATGTTTAATTAACATATTACACGTCCATCGTTTGACAATAGAAATTTCATTTTTATAACGATCATCTAATGGTGTTTTAAATGCAATAAATTTTCCTACATATAAAAAGTAAAAAATGATTAGTAATAAATTAATTTAATAATATTTACCAGCAATAATTGTTGATTTTCTTGGACAATCAAGCCAATTCGATGGTATTCCTGTTGGATTATATGTTTGTATACTTGATGAGAAAGTATTTGTATTAGACATCTAGAATAAAAAAAAAAAAGAAAAGCTTGTAAGAATGACGAAAAAAAGAAAGACAAATTTTGAAAGTGCGATGTAATATATACATGTATGTTTTAATACACTGGGTTTTTTCCTAGCTATTACCAGAAATTATGCAAGATGTGTGGGAATTAAATCTTTATATGTATTGGTTAATAGTTTTCATGGCTGTCAAACCTTTGCCTCTAAATTGATTTGAAACAGAACCATAAAATCTTTTTTGAAATATTTTCCATGAAATAATGATAATTGTTTTTCATAGAAAGTCAATTATGATTATTTTCAATTTTTCTCTCTTAGAATATCTTCATGTAAAAATAAAAACATTTGAATATAAGACACTTTGACTGTTCTACATATTTGATATCGTTCTCCTTTATTTCTTTACGTCATTGATTGTCTTGTTTCGTTTATCGTTCTTCTTTATGTCGACTTGATGACACTATATTTTTGTTTTGTGCGATGGCCTCGCGCTTATTTTGGTGTTTTTTTCTTCGTACTGTATTTTTACGCTATAAATTTGCTTGTTTCATCCTTAATCATACGAAATTTCAACAATGTCATCGTCTGAAAACACTGATCGTCA